CCCAAGACTCCTGCTGAGGAATTTCCAGGACTGAGCCTCCTGGAGCGGCTGCAGAAGGCCAGCTTGTTCTCCCAGTGCCGGCGCCCGCTGCCTGAGCTCGTCCATTTCTGCTTTCATGTATTCATTCAGTGGGTGTTTTTGAGAGCCTACTATGTGCCGGCGCTTTTCTAGGTTCTGGGGATACAGAAAGAAACAGAATAGACAGGATCCCTGCCTCCATGGATGCCCTCCCACCAGAGAATGACGGAAGGAAGGAAGGGAGGAAGGAAGGGAGGAAGGAAAGAAAACTGGAGGAAAATGAAGAAGGGGGATGGGGACCTCACAGAAAAGATGACATTTAAGAAAAAACGTGAGGGAAGAGAGGGAGAGAGGCAGGTATCTGGGGGAAGAATGTTCTAGGAAGTGAGAATGGTAGGAGCAAAGGTCCTGGGGCAGGGGCCAGTATGTATGTTTGAGGACTTGGACTAGGTTCTTCTTCTTCCCTTTTTTTTTTTTTTTTAAGATTTTATTTATTTATTTGACAGAGAGAGAGCACAAGCAGGGGGAGCGGCGGGCAGAGGGAGAATCAGGCTCACTGCTGAGCCGGGAGCCGGACACTGAACTCGATCCCAGGACCTGGGGATCACCACCTGAGCCGAAGGCAGACGCTCAACTGACTGAGCCACCCAGGCGCCCTTGGACTAGGTTCTTGATAATAAAGTGGGATATATTTTTTACTATCCAGGATCCACTTGCTCTGTTATTAATTACACTAAACTGACTCACTTTCAAAAACAAATACTTATTTCAGCCTCATCAGGGTGGGTTGAGGAGAGCATAGGAGGTGGCAAAGAGTGAGATAGTAACTATAAACAAGGCTTTGGGAGAGTTTATTTTAAAAAAGAGTAGAGGGGGATGCCCAGGTGGCTCAGTCAGTAGAGCATGCAACTCTTGATCTCAAGGTCCTGAGTTCAAGTCCCATGTTGTGGGCAGAGTTTACTTACAAACCTAAAAACAGGGAGGGGTCCAAGTGGATAAGAAATACTAAGACTTGTGTGCATGTTGACCTTGGATGGCCCTGGGATTTGGGTCCTGGAACTGCCCGCTTTCTAGAGGACCTTTTTCAGTGCTAAGATTTTATTTTTATTTTTTAATTTCTTAAAAGATTTATTTATTTGAGAGAGAGAGTGAGAGCATGAGCAAGAGGGCCAGAGGGAGAGGGAGAGTCTCAAGCAGATTCCACACTGAGTGTGGAGCCCCATGTGGGACTTGATCTCTTTTTTTTTTTTTTAAATGGATTAGAAGAGTGTAGTAGTTTTTTTTTAAGATTTTTTTTTTTTATTTATTCATTTGACAGAGATAGACACAGCGAGAGAGAGAACACAAGCAGGGGGAGTGGGAGAGGGAGAAGCAGGCCTCCCGTAGAGCGAGGAGCCCGATGCGGGGCTCGATCCCAGGACTCTGAGATCATGACCTGAGCCGAAGGCAGACGCTTAACGACTGAGCCACCCAGGTGCCCCGGGACTTGATCTCTTGATATCACCCTGATATCAAGACCTGAGCCGAAGCCTGCCTGGGTGGCACAGTGGGTTAAGCGGCTGACTCTTGGTTTCAGTTCAGATCATGATCTTGGGGTCATAGGATTGAGCCCCATATCTGGCTCTGCACTCAGTGAGGAGTCTGTTTGAGACTCTCCCTCTCCCTCTGCTCTTGTGCTCTCTGTCTCTCAAAAAAATAAAATCTTTTTTCTATTCATTTGAGAGACAGCACAAGCAGGGGGAGAGGCAGAGGGAGAGGGAGAAGCAGACTCCCCACTGAGCTGGGAGCCCGACATGGGGCTCGATCCCAGGGCCTGGAGATCATGACCTGAGCCGAAGGAAGACACTCAACCATCTGAGTCACCCAGGCGCCCCAAATAAATAAAATCTTAAAAAAAAAAAAAAAAAAGACCTGAGCTGAAACCAAGAGCTGGACACTTGACCTGACTACACCACCCAGGCGCCCCCAGTGCCAAGATTTTAAATAGCATCTTGATGCTGATGACTTCTCCCTTTATATCTCCTCTCCCCTGAGCATGTCCAAATTTGCAGCTATTTACAGGCATCTCTAACTATTATCAATTGTACAAAACAGAATCATTGATTGCCTCTTGCCCCACCAAAATCTGCTCCCTTCCATAAGGCTTTGATAAGCACAAAAGTAGGGAGTGGCTCTTATTTTCTTTTTCCTCTCATTTCCCAACCAGGAGTAGCATCCCTGTGGGCTTTGGCTTCCATCCCCTTCTCTACTACACACCATCTCTTGGTCTCCCTGCCTCCACCCTTGCTCCCACTGTGATCAGTTTTCTACACAGCAATTAGGTGGATCTGAAAAATCCAGTCATGCCAGACCCTTACTTAAAATTCTTCATCAGGGGACTCCTGGGTGGCTCAGTCGTTAAGCGTCTGCCTTCGGCTCAGGTCATGATCCCAGGGTCCTGGGATGGAGCCCTGCATCAGGCTGCCTGCTCAGTGGGAAGCCTGCTTCTCCCTCTCCCACTCCCCCTATTTGTGTTCCCTCTCTCGCTGTCTCTCTCTGTCAAATAAATAAATAAAATCTTAAAAAAAAAATTCTTCATCAGTTTCCCATAACAATCAGAATAAAACCCCAACTCTTTTTCCAGGGCTTTCAAGATCCTCCATGATCTTCCTCTGGCCTCTGATTGCATCTCATACATTCTCTGCCTACTTCGTTATACTCCAACCAGTCTATTTGCACTCCCTTTCCTGTGTTTCTCAAATAGATTCCCTTCCAAAGGCATTTTGCTTGAGAGACTTTCTCCAGCATCTTCACGAGGTCAGCTCCTTCTGATCCTCCATGCTCAGCTTAAAATGTCACCTCCTTGAGAGGCCTGCCCATTCTGAAATGGCCTCCCAGCTGGACACTTTCTTGCAAACATGGCTTCCCTGCTCACCCTGCCCCCCACACCATGATCTATCTCGACTCCTCTAGTCCTCATTAGTCCCTGCCACCTGGATTCCCAGCTTAACCCCAGCCCTGGCCTTCCGGAAACTGGTTCTTCAGCCCTTCCTTGAGTCAGTCAGTTCCTCCATAGCCTACCAATAAATTCCGTATTTGCTCAATTTAGCCAAAGGTGTTTTTCGTCCCTTGCAATGAAAGAACCCTAAGGGTGGGGTGCCTGGCTAGTAGAGAGTTCAGTTGGTAGAGAGAGGGACTTTTGATCTCAGGGTTGTGAGTTCCAGCCCCATGTTGGGTGTAGGGATAACTTAAAAATGTCTCGCTGTGTCTCTCTGTCAAATAAATAAAATCTTAAAAAAGAAATCGAAAGTAAGGAGGGAAGGAAGGAAGGAACCCTAAGGGTTATAGCCTCCATTATCAGGGTACCAAGAGAAATCAAACTATATTTGAGTAATGCCTTAGGTCAATAAAGAAACAATAATGATAATTGGGGGGAGAACAACAATAACATTAAATTAATAACACTTATTGAGGACTGTATTAGTATGTAGGTTCTTTTTTTTAAAGATTTATTTATTTATTTATTTGAAAGAGAGAGAATGAGAAAGAGCACATGAGAGGGGGGAGGGTCAGAGGGAGAAGCAGACTCCCCGCTGAGCAGGGAGCCCGATGCGGGACTCGATCCCGGGACTCCAGGATCATGACCTGAGCCGAAGGCAGTCGCTTAACCAACTGAGCCACCCAGGCGCCCCGGTATGTAGGTTCTATAGCTAGCTGTACAAAGACCAAAAGGGAATAGTTTCATTTCTCACTTAATAGTCCATCTATATAAGGGGCCAAGGGTAGCCCTACCTTGTTGCTCAGTATCCTCAACATGTGGCTTCCACCTTAAGGACCAAGACAGCTGCATGGGCTCCTGGGCTCTCAGGTGGGACTAGAGAGGCGGGGCGCTGTCCCTCCCTTTCAAGGTCCTGATCCGGGAGGGTGCCTGCATTCTCTGCACTCGCATCCCATTGGCCAGAACCTCGTCACGTGGCCACGGTTGGCTGCAAGGAAAGCCAGCAAACCTCATCTTTAATTGGGCAGCCCTGGCTTCCTTCTAGTCACATCTGGCAAAGATAACTATCCTGATTACTAGCAATGTAAGCATACGTTTTACATTTACACAAATAGTCTCGTGTCAGAGGGTTCGTTGGGTTTATTTTTTCACTCAATTTTCAAGATCCATGCATGTCTATATGAACAACTAGTCATGCTTTCTAGCGGCTTCCCGGTACTGTGTGCCTCCGGCATAGTTAACCAATGCGCCCCCCTTGCGATGGGCGCCCATCGCCGTCTCCACCTCCACCTGCAGCCTCCACACGTGTCACTGCCCTAGGCGTCCATGTGCACATCTGTGCACTGAATGAGCAGTTCTTTTAAAAAAAAAATTTTTTTTTTATTTATTCATTTGACAGAGAACAAGCAGGGGGGGCTGCAGGGGGAGCTGCAGGGGAAGAGTGAGAAGAGGCTCCCCATGAGCAGGGAGTCCAATGCGGGGCTCGATCCCAGGACCCCGGGATCATGACCTGACTGAAGGCAGCTGCTTAACCAACTGAGCCACCGAGGCGCCCCTGATTGAGCGGTTCTGCGGACTCCATCCCCAGGAGAGGAGGTGCTCAGTCACAGGGGAAATGAGTGACAAGTACGGCCAGACTGCTCTCCGGCAGAGCTGCTCCCAGTCTTTACTCCCACCAGCTGCAATGGGGGCTTCTATAGTCCCCCAAAGGTATTTTGTTCATCTTTGTTACACCTATAAATGGACATCTGTTGTTTTTGCAAGGCCAGATCCATTCTTCCTTTTTCCAGTCACTGGACGCTAGGTTTCTTTTGGGGAACCATGGCCAATCTCAATGCACGTGACTCAGATGAGCGTGACCTTGCTCTCTCACTTCCTGGTTTGACCATGTGACTGAGCACTGGCCAAATCACTTTCCAGCTCCCAGCCAATCAAGTGAAGGCCCAGGACTGAAGAAGCTAGGCCAAATTAGAGCCAACTCAGCTGAAAGATGACTAAACCATGATGTTGTTGCTTGTGTCCCTGGAACCAGCCATGCCTGAAGTGGATATGCACTGAAGCTTATAATGACATAAGCCAATAAATTCATTTTCTGTTTTTCTAAATAAATTAATTAATTAATTTTAATTTTTTTAAAAGTAGGCTCCGCACCCAGTGTGGGGCTTGAACTTAGGACTCTGAGCTCAAGAGCTGCATGTTCTACCAACTGAGCCAGCCAGGAGCCCCTCATTCTCTTTTGAGACTGATTTGAGTTGGGCTTAGGAAAGCCACAACCAAAAGAATTCACACGTAATAACAGCCCTTGCCCCATCCATCCTGCCACCAAGCATGGTAAGTCACAGAACAAATGTTTGTTGAATGAATGAGTGAGTGCACGTGTGGGAATAAATTAGACATGAGAAGTGGCCACCCAGTGATAAATACTCCTACGAGTTCTCCAGGAGTTCAGATGAAATAGTACTGGGAAGGCTCATAAATAAGAAAATGGGCTTTAAAAATTCCTTTTGCTAAATTCAAATCCTAAGGCTAAGATATATGTAAGCTCCTTCGTTGTAGTTTTTGTTCGTTTTGCTTTGACAATCAGGTAACCCTCATTGAACTAGGAAGGTAACTTAAAACCCCACCATATTCCCCTTAGAGGGTTAGAAATGAGACAAGCAGGTATAAGACTTTCTCTTCTGCAGCTTTCTAGGGATGTTTTCCTTTGTGTTTATTTTTATGAAAAGTGTGGTACTGAGAAATCCAAAGGATGAGCACATTAGTGCCGTCCATTTTTTTTTAGTTTATTTATTTTTTTATTTAAGTAATCTCTACACCCAATGTGGGGCTCAAACTCACGATCCTGAGATCAAGAGTCCCATGCTCATATGACTGAGTCAGCTTGGCACCCCTAGTGCCATCCATTTGACAATGATTTGCCCTAAAAGTAAAATTTGATTTTTTTTTTGCCTTTGGGTTTTTTGTAAAGATTTTATTTTATTTTATTTTTTTTAAAGACTTTATTTCTTTGAGAGAGAGAGACAGCATGAGGAGGTGACGGGCAGGGAGCAGCAGACTCCCTGCTGAGCAGGGCGACCAATGCAGGGCTCGATCCTGGGACTCTGGGATCATGACCTGAGCTGAAGGCAGATCCTTAATCGACTGAGCCACCCAGGAGCCCCTAAGATTTGATTTGATTTGATTTGATTTATTTTGAAGATTTAATTTATTTATTTGCCAGAGAGAGAGACAGAGAGAGAGCACAGGCGGCGGGGAGCAGGAGGAGAGGGAGAAGTTTACTCCCCGCTGAGCAGGGAGCCCAATGCGGGGCTCAATTCCAGGACCCTGGGATCATGACCTGAGCTGAAGGCAGATGCTTAACTGACTGAGCCACCCAGGTGCCCCTGATTTTATTTTTAAGTAATCTCTACACCCAACGTGGGGCTTGAACTTACAACCCCAAAATCAAGAGTCGCATGTTCTACTGACTGAGCCAGCCAGGTGCCCCATGCCTTTGGATTTTTTTATTCATAAGAAACTAATATGTGTAGGGCGCCTGGGTGGCTCAGTTGGTTAAGCTACTGCCTTCGGCTCAGGTCATGATCCTGGAGTCCCGGGATCGAGTCCCGCATCCGGCTCCCTGCTCAGCAGGGAGTCTGCTTTGCCCTCTGACCCTATCCCCTCTCATGTGTTCTCTCTCTCTCTCAAATAAATAAATAAAATCTTAAAAAAAAAAAAAAAGAAAGTAATATGTGTATCTGATTTTTTAATACTTTTTTAAGTAAGCTCTATGCCAACATGGGGCTTGAACTCAGGAGTCACATGCTCTACCAACTGAGCCACTCAGGTGTCCCTGTATTTGATTTTTTTTTTTTAAGATTTTTATGTATTTATTTGACAGAGAGAGACACAGCGAGAGAGGGAACACAAGCAGGGGGAGTGGGAGAGGGAGAAGCAGGCTTCCCACAGGACAGGGAGCCTGATGCGGGGCTCGATCCCAGGACGCCGGGATCATGACCTGAGCCGAAGGCAGCCGCTTAACGACTGAGCCACCCAGGCACCCCTGTATTTGATTTTTTTTTTTTAAAGATTTTATTTACTTATTTGAGAGAGAGCACACAGAGAAAGAGAGGGAGAAGCAGGCTCCGCGCTGAGCAGGGAGCCCAATGCAGGGCTCGATCCCAGGACCCTGAGACCATGACCCAAGCCTAAGGCAAATGCTTAGCCGACTGAGCCACCCAAGTGGCCCCGCTGTATTTAATTTTTTACCAGAGGTCTAGCAGACCAGAGAGGCAGTGTCCTTTTCCCCTCCAACCTGTGCCCCTGTCACCTTCTCTAGGGACAGCCACATAACTAGTTTCTCTTGTCACTTCCTAGAGAGTCCCTAGCATATATAAGCTCTATCAGCCACGGCTCTTTTTTTTTTTTAAGATTTTATTTATTTGACAGAGAGAGAGAGATAGCGAGAGCAGGAATACAAGCAGGGGGAGTGGGAGAGGGAGAAGCAGGCTTCCCACTGAGCAAGGGAGCCCGATGTGGGACTCGATCCCAGGACCCCGGGATCATGACCCAAGCCGAAGGCAGACGCTTAACGACTGAGCCACCCAGGCGCCCCCAGCCACGGCTCTTGATGGCAAGCAACAGAGACCCGTGCTGGCTAACCTCAACTGCAGAGGGGTTTATGGGAAGGATATGCGGGGAAGGGCAGGTGCTTATAGAATCAGTAGGAAGGATAAAGACCATCAGGAAATGAGGGAGGCTAAGCGTGGAAATTCTGCCCAGGTGAATGTTGCTGCCACTCCATCTGTAGCTGCCCCTGCCTGAGTATGCCCAGTTATCATGCGCAGGGTAGGTCCAAATTCTCTGTACATTTCTCTTGGCATCACTGGCTGGAGAACTGAAACTCCTGGACAGAACCATCTGATCGCCCAGGTCATGTGCCTATGCAGCCAAGTGGTGGAGAGAGGTTCTCTTTATTTGTAATTTTGAGAAATCTTGCTCAATTTCTTTCCAAAAGATTGTTTCAGTCTACACTTCTAACAACAGTCCGGAAGAATTTATGTTGCCCCAGAGGTGCCAAAAGAGCATGAAGAATAAAATTTTGAACCAATCGTGGAAGCATCTGTGCGTGCTCTCCAGCACTTGAGAAGAGATTAAAAGCACCTGACTGTTCGCAGTGGGCTGTCTGAGTCCCTACAGAATTCAGGGATCCCTTTATAGTCCTGGATAAGAAGAGAAAAAAGCCACCTGGGTAATACAGGTGTAATTGGCCCCCCACGGCACTTAGGTGGTCCCTTTGAAGATCAGCCTCTGTGATGTGGGGGAGAGGGGGGTGTCTGATTTGTTTTTATCTCTATTTTTAAGTCCTGAATTTCCAATTCATTAAAAAAGAAATCCTGGGGGCACCAACTCTCAAGGAGCCCATTAAGATTTGGCTTTGGGGGATTGGCTTTTGAATTGCCAAGCAAAATGAAATCACAAATATAATTATGTCATTGTACCGTTGGGTCTAAGTAGCATAAGAAATGAATCACTTAGTTCGGGGTGGGGGCGGGGCGGGGGGGGTGCGGCTATCAACAGCAGATAACCCGATGAAGAGTGGCTTACATTTTCTTCCAAAACAAGGAATCTGGAAGTAGGTAGCTGCTGTCGCTGGGTGAATGGTACCAGAGCCAGGTACTCTTGATCATCTTGGCCTTGCCCTCATGGTGCAGCAATCTGGCTGCAGCCGCACCAGGCATCGTGTCAGCATTCAAAGCAGGAAGAGGTAGGGAAAGGGCTGGAGCCAGTTGCATCTGTCCCTTCTATCAGGAAAATGAACATATTCCTGGAAATCCAACAGCATAGTTGGCAACCACAGCAGCAGAAGCACTTTCCAGCTTCCAAAATAGGAGGAAGAAGAGAGTCAAAGGTTGAGAGCAGTTGCGGGGCTCAGCCCATTGGCTAGATCTGCCACAAGAAAAGTCAGAAAATCCACAGTGTTTGGAATATTGAAATCTCTTGTCCTTCCTTTAGTTCTTGCACCTAAATGATGGACACTGAAATAATTTTTCATGTCTATATACATCCACAGGAGACTTAATAGTAATTCACTATGTGAGTTATTAAGGGCTATTAAAATGCAGTATTCATGAACTAAAATTAGCCGACTTATCCACACCGGTGTTCTGCCAAGACCATCTGGCTGCCACTCAATGCTTGATGGCCTTGCCTTTGCATAAATAGCTGAGATTCCTACAATTTAAGGAAAAGACACTTTGTTAGTGGTGTTATCTTGAATTAGTTATGGTTCTCAATAGCTGCTTCTATTTCCTGTGTCCTAAAAGGTATTATACCCTATTGTGGGTTGAACTGTGCCTTCCAAAAAGATAGGTTCAAGTCTTAATCCTCCTCCTTGTAAATGTGACCTTATTTGGAAATAGGGTAATTAAATTAAATGTAATTAAATTAAAGTGAGGTCATACTGGATTAGGGTGGGTCTTAATCCAATGACTAAAATCTTTATACGGAGAGAAAACAGACCTTCGTGCACTGTTTATGAGAATGTAAAATGGTGCAGCCGCTGTGGAAAACAGTTTGGCACTTCCTCAAAAGGTTAAACATAAAATTGCCTCATGACCAATTCCACTCCTAGGGATATACCCGAAAGAAGTGAAGGCTGGTATTCAGACAGATACTTGAACAGACAAATGTTCATGGCACCACTATTCACAAAAGCCAAAAAAGGGAAGAAACAACCCAAATGTCTATCAACTGAACAGCAGCTGTTCTATGCGGATGTTGGAAGGTTACTCAGTCCCGGGAAGGAATGGAGTACTGATACATGCTATGGGGTGCAGGAACCCTGAACACACTCGGAGGGAAAGAAGTCCCATGCCTCCTGTAAGGGTGCCATTCACATGAAGTGCCCTGAATAGGCAAATCCACAGAGACGGAAAGCAGATTAATGATGGTGTGGGCGGGAGGAGGGGCGCGGAAGGAGAGGGGCACACGGGGGGACACTAACAGGTGTGGGGCTTCCTTTTAGGGAGATGGAGATATTTTAGACGTCCGTGATTCACTAGGTGATGGTGGTATAACACTGTGATTGTGCCAAATACCACCGATGGTTACTTTTACATCATGGGAAATTCACCTTAATTTTGAAGGAGGTGGGGGAGAGGGAGGAAGCAAAGGAAAAAGAAGAACCATAAGAATTATTGCCGGTGGCCAGATGAGAAAATCCTTATACGTTTGTATCTTGTTACAGCCCTTAGGTAGTTATCTTTTAACATTTTTTTTTAAAGCTTTATTTATTTATGTAAATAATCTTTACACCCAACGTGGGGCTCAAACTCACAACCCCTGGGATC